TTTTTTGTACCGCCTCTCATTTTACATGTCTTACTGCATAATTACAAAAAAAAGATTCCTTTAAGAAATGATATGAATACATTAAAGCATTACTCTCATGAGTACATTACAATAGTGGAATAACAAAATAAGTAATAGATATTTCTCTGTTTAAGCAAAGACAAGAGTATCATAGCAAAACCCCATAAGTTTAGCATTATTTTGCTTATTTACGTATAAAAAAAGCAAAAAGCGATCTGTTTTCTCTAATAAAATTAATCTCTCCGTATAAAACGCTTTAAATGATATCTTCCGTGCAAAAATTTCATTTGAAATACAAAAGCTGTAACAAATATGAGCAAATATTAATATTTTAGAATATTTAGGGATTTGGCGGCCATCTTTGACGCCATCTTTGATTTTTAAGCTACGCATCGGACTTGAACTAAATGAATATCCATTCCGGAAACTACAGACCAAGACGAACAATTTGGTATATAAACCTTCCTGTTGGCTGACATAGACCACTTCGGTGTCATTTTACCCTATGAATTTGCAGCACTATAAGTGCAGTTTTCCTATGCACCGGCCGGTGTGCAAATGAGCGAATTACAATTCTATCGGAATATAGCGACATGCGCCGGAAACATGATTGCCAAATATAAAAGGTTTTCTGCCAATAATGCACATGTTATGTGAACAATAAGCATGTTAGATATATTTAATTACTTTTACTATAAAATACGAGACTTAAAAACTCTTTCTTTGCGTTTTTGCCGTGACACGATCGTTAATTTTCTTCTTTTTTTCAGGTGATGACTAAAGAATATCACTTACATTACGATGTTGATTTTCATGTCAGCCATGTACGTGTCATGGGTTTACTTGTTGGTAAAGCTTTATTGACGCAGCTGGTTTGTGAAAACAATATTTTATTTATAATTGATGGACATGCATTGAAACTGTTTTTGTTTTTTTTATTATAAGGTATTGAGTGTAAGTTAAGTGCTGAATTTATTCAACGAAATCAATAAATTTAGTAATGAATTTACACGAATTTCATATTCTATTTATCACATTCCAAAAAATAAGGACCGTTTGAAGTGAAAAAGAACCATTTTTCATTGATGCGCCAAATGTGTAACGCTAACATTTTGCGCGTCTTAACGCTATGTTTATATTATTAGTTATAAAGATCGTTGACAGGTTATATGGCCCTGTATAAACGGCTATTTGTAAATATAACCCGAGCCGCTAGGCAAGAGTTATATTGCAAACAGCCGTTTATATACGGCCATATAACCTATCAACAATCTTTATAACAAATTTATTATACAGCAACCATCATTTCTAAAGATAAAAGTAAGATTTCTTCATGAATCGATAGCAGCCGTGTATTATATTAGTTATAAAGATCGTTGACAGGTTATATGGCCCTATTTAAACAGCTTTTTGTAAATATAACCCGAGCCGTTAGGCGAGGGTTATATTGCAAACAGCCGTTTATATACGGCCATATAACCTGTCAACAATCTTTATTACGAATTTATAATACAGCAAGCATAATTTTAGAGAAAAAAGTAAGTTTTATTCATGGATCGATAGCAGCCGTGTATATAAAACTATATAAACGTCACGATTATCCAATGAAAAATGACGTTACAAACGTGCAGTATTATAAAAAACTTAATAAACGTCACGATTATCCAATGAAAGGCGACGTTTCAAACGTGCAGTATTAATAAATACAAATGACGTCACGTCAAAATATATGCATGCCGTGTAATACCTTATTTACGGAGTCGCAAAAAGCGGCACGGGTATGTGATAAAGTTAATAAATGAATAAAATGATGATTCAGCAGAAACCCTTCATTTTCCCCGAGTAGTTTGTATAATGTATCATATTATAAGAAAAGAGCTTTCAATCCGAAAGTCTAAAAGTATGTTTCAATCTAAATTAAACGGAAGGTAATGGCCACTTGAAAATAAAAACTACTTTCTGAATTTAATGAAGAAAATTAATGATATAGAAAATATGCTCGTTGGAAAATTTCCAATGTATTTCTCTTATATTTAAACTATTGTTTAGCTGAAATTGTGCTAGACCCACCTGATATTCTTATTATTTTTTTATTATTAATGACCTTATAACTTACGGATTGAGTACATAACGAATTAGTTAGACAATCGGATGAAGTTAATATTCGAACAAACGGCCAGCAGAAGGTTATCAAAGTGGGTTTAGATGGTGATAAACATTTCTTTTATTATAAAAGTTTGCTAAGTTTAATTTTGATTAATCAATTGGAGAGGATTAACAGAAACTTGACATATGACAAGACAGCGTATTTAATATTGATAATAACATGTGAAAGCGAAGAAGGTATACACATTTTTACAAAAATTGTTGTTTTTTTTATTGAAAATACCTATACAAAACAAACTACATTCACTTGCAAACATAATGCTACTGTGTAGCTTACAGAAAATAAATCTTCACACATTGCATTGAATAAATTTGACAAAAATACAAAATGTATGTATCATATGAATATAAATTACAAATATTCATATATGTTTGTGTATATGGTTCTTGTCGAAACAAAACACAAGACCAACATAACAAATTAGACGTTGAATTTAACGCTAGAAAGTGGTTGCATTTAGAAAGTGTGCATGATCCTAAGCATAAACTGTTTAACTATATTTATTTTAATAAATTACAGTAACAACAAAACATGCTTACATATGTAACCGATGAACTAAAGTGTTCAGTTATTCAAAAACAGTTATACATTGAGAGTATACTTGTAATACAAAATAAATATTGAAGCCTAATGATCATTATCAATAATGTTTAAAGCAGCATTTTAAAGGTAGCATGTCTCCAGAATCATGTTAATTTACAATATGTAAGATTTTTTATATTCCATTCAAGAACGCTTGGGAATGACCGCTGAAATTGGTTAATATGAAAACGACACTTTCGGTAACTTCTATTTCCATTTGAATTTACAAAGTTATGTCTCTATTCAAAGAGTCTAGAGGTGTCGCAAGTTTCTAGGAATTCAGACATCTTGTCGGAATATCTGAAATTCACCAATTAGAAAATACTTTATGTAAGTTATGAAGAATTTCGATTACTTTTTCATTATTTCAAAATTTACTTCCAATTAACGTCATTGAAATATCCTATGTTAATGTACATTTATATGTATTTCATATAATATTTGCCATAATCAATAAAATAATGTTTAATTAGACAATTTAGAAAAAAAGAAAACACATAAAGTCGTATTTAGTGTGAATTTTTTTTTCAAACATGGTAAATATAGTGTCCATTGAATTATCGTTGAAGATTGCTTCTGTAATTTTGTTATACAAGCCAAAGATTGTTTTCGTAACTGTTGAAAATACTTACATCTGGCAATTCCATGTAAACAAGTTATAATTTTTTCCCTCATTGCGCCAGGCAGTTTCAAACTCAGAGATATCATCAGCACACCAGGTAAATTGCCTTCTTTCTAGTCTTTTGAATCGGTAGCAACAAGAAAGGGCTGAATCATTGCAATCGATTTGTCTCTGTAGTAAAAGTACATGCGAGATTAAAATTTTGATATTTCAATGAGATGTTTGAATTTGTGCATATTCCATTGGCGTGCCAAATGCAAAAAATGTTCAGATGGAAAATTTATGCTGGTGGTGGTTTTGTGAGTTTCACTCCGGATCAAGGCAGTAAGTTACATTGAATTTACCAGAGCACGGTTCAGCCACCGCATCGTTCCTGGTCAGGCTTTCAAGCATTTAATTAGTATGATTTCCACCACTTTCCCAAGAACTGAAACTTCTGTACATGTCATAGCAGAGGTACAGTGCGAATGACAGTAGAAAAGATTTCATGATCAATTACAACGAAAGAGGTCTGCATCGTCCGGGAATTGAACCCTGTCGCCCGATTCACAGTCCAACGTTCTACCTTTTGAGCTAACCCGACGGCTAAAATAATCTAAGTTTGATCTAGCTGAATTTTAAATAGTCATATATAATTAATATTATATTCTGAAAAAAAAACAGTACTAAACGATGCCCAAAAGAGAATTTCCATATTATTAAACCAAAGGGCTTGGTTCACCAACCCTATAGAAAATGACTTCAAGAAATCAATGTGTTTGATTTTATGTAGAACCATGCTAGACCTATACAAGTATGTAGCCAGTGATATTTCTTGATGGACATTTCACACCAAAGATATCATTCTTGGACACCCTGGTTTACTTTGCATATTTTATCCAAACAAAGTATGAGCCATTGCAATTAATCACATGGCATTCTAATCATAATGTAAACAAGTACCTGCATTGTCTTTTTTCTAGAGATACTAGTAACTTGATTTCTATTTATTTTATTTTAATATACAAATGTTCCTTCTCAATTAGTATATTAAAATTGTGAGATAATTATTCAAATCCGTTGCAGATCTACATTTTACAATTTGTACCTATCTCTGAAGTGTGGAAATCATCCTATGTTTTAAATCTAAAATCGACATTTAGGTCAACTTATTTTCGAAAATATATATACATTATAATATTCTGAAGTAATATTATGATCAAGATCATAAACTAAATGTACAAGTAGACACTTAACTGAGCTGGCTTCAAAATGATGTTGTTCCCTGCGGGCCGGAGCCCGCAGGGTATTGGTACGCGTTTAATTTTTGAGGCATGGAGGAGCACGTGACCTGTTTTCGGTACATGGAGGAGCATGTGATTTGTAAACCGTACATGATTGGTTAATTGACCTATTCAAAAACCTAGCTAAATACCGTTTCCCGGTACGTTACGGATTTACCTCTAGGGAATTATTGTATATACTACACACACCGGTCTCTCAAATGACCGGTGTACACAATGCTAGGGAATTAGTCCGAATTACACCTAATTAAGAACATAACACTACTACGTGATATTTCTAATATCTATTATTATTTTACCGTTTAAGGTGGAAAAACTTGCATGATGTGTTTGAAAATTATCAATGTTTCTTTAATATCTATCTGAAATTTTACAAACAATAAATTATTTATAGTGAAAATCCACAGAGTTGTGGCATCTGCCATAATAGATAGAGATATTTTCTGCGAAAACTTGTGTGTTTACTTTATTTTATTTTATCATATTATTTTTTTGCACGGAATTATTCATACAATGGTATTGTTTTATTTTCGACCCAGACCAAAGACCTTCTTCTATTGATCGATTATTGTCAACTATATTCCTGATACAAACGTTATTTTTTTTATTTTTTTTCCCCCAAACAGTGTTGAAAATAGTTAAATGAAATATCTTTCAATCATTATAAATGTTCCCCGCAGGAAACCATTTTACTTGTTTTTAGCTTACACGTGAAGTTATGATGTGTATATTGTACAATTATTTAACATAACTTACTAAAAGTCGCCACAGGTGGGTGGTCGGTTCGAAACCTTGTGAAGTATTTTTTTCTTTCTTTCTTTTTTTCCTTCCAGATATGGTCAAATATTTCTTAGGTAAAGTTTGCAACAATAAAGCCATGATTGTTCAAAGTATGTTTGGTAGAAATTCATACATGGTAATTCATTTTTTGAAGTGTCTGGTGATCAAGATATTTTAGTTCTGGAGGGTACATTTATCGATGTAATATTATCATACTTGCTTACTTCAACTTCAAAAGTTCTTCTTTAGTTTGAGCGAGGAAAATATATTTGTGAAATCTATGGCTACTGTGTGAACAACTGGCTACATTAATTGTTTATTTTGCTGCCAACAGGAACAACGTTTCTTTTATCCTTACAAAAACCGTATCATGCTAAACAAATAAGAAAACCTGGAAGACATTTATCTTCATTTTGCTGGAGGAATTTGGTATCAAGGTAGATATGCCAGTCTGTAATATAAATCCGTGGTTCACATAAAATGGCTAAAAATAAACAATTTCAACGATTTTGTTTAGGAAGTAAATAAAAAAAGTGGTTGATGAAGAAATCCTTTGCTTTCCGAAACACAACTATGTGAACTAACATTGAAGACTGTGGAAATACTAAATACATCTTTGTTAAAAATATATTCAAGTATACTGACTATTGAGGATTGTATAAATTTTATGGTATAGAATATAGAATTAGAGTTATACAGTGTAAATATTGGATAGAGATCAAAAAAATATATATTGAACATTGCAACATTTAACATGCCATACTTGACTGTGTATACCCAGATAAAGTCTAAGTCAATTTATAGTTTAATACTTCAAAATGCAAATGTAATTATACAGCATTTTCAATTCTACTCTATCGTGTAATTCAAAGTTACCATGGTAATAGAAAATTGTAACCATGGCAACGACTATCTGATGTTTTTGCAAATATTAATGATGTTTTACCATGTTGAACATAGTGCTCATATAGTGCTCAAATGTTTGAGCTAATTTTGAGACAGTGTCAGAGTGAACCAAGCCCTATAATGCGACCAAATATACTTATTTTTAAAAATGGAGCATAGTTCAACAAACTAACAGGATAATTCCAGATTCCCCAGTCGTAGCATGTAGATCCTATCTTTATAAACGTATGTCTAATTCCATACGGAGCGTATCTTTTTCTGATGCTTGAACACGAAGAAGAGACTGCCCTATGCAATGGGCAAGAATAAACATAATAATGTCCGGCCTCCACGAAACCTGAAATAATTTGCACAAATTAAATAATTGATTTAAATAATTCTTTCTAATGTTTTATCCCTAGTGTGTCAGAGTATTCAATGACTACTGATTAAACTAAATATGATATAGATATGATATTATTTGAAAACAGTTATAGTCTGTCTCACCAAATGTAAACATTTCATTCTTTACACAATATAATTTTTAAACACATCTGCATTTATGTCATGTTAACCCTGGATTCATTATCTCTGGGCATGTTTTTCATTCTTTCATTCAGTCAATGATTTGATTTACAAGTTAAAATTATATTTTCCCCTCTTACTCACGTTGAATCCCTACATTCATTTCAAAATGGCAGCGCCTATATTGATGCATTAGGGCTCATCTCACAAGAAGTCTCAGTAATAATAAATTTTGATTTTTTTTTTAAATTTCTAATTCACTTACTGATTAATATGTCAATGTTTGCAGAAAGATAAGAAACGAGCATAGAATAGATGTCAAATTAGATGGAAATGTTAGCTTCAACTTAAACATTCCTCCGTGCATATAAAGAAAACGGAATTAAATAACATTATACATCATATACTTGCGCAATATACAGTTATGAATTGTCAATAGAATGGAAAAAAAATTAAAAGCGATCGACGGGGGCACATTCTTTAAAAAGCAATAACCCGTTATTCGCCAATGTTTAATGTACGTAATCCTTAAGTCGTGGTGCACTTTAACTGGTGTCCATAAAAATATCAAGATTGTTTGAAAATATTTAAAATGCTCAGCTGATTCTTATTTTTTAACGAAATGTATTTTAAACGCTCGGCTGATTCTTATTTTTTAACGAAATGTGCGTGCACTTAGAAACAAATACTTTTTTACTATGATAGATGAAAGCGATAAACTGCTTAACAATTTTTTCGGCTTTGTTGCGCCTTTACCAACTTTGTCCATTTTAACTAGCTCCCGCGTAAATGACAGGACACAGACACAAGCGTGAAAAATGTAAATAAATACATTCATGTATTTCTTTAATGGGTAACAAGTTTAAATTGACTAATGGACGCCAATACGCTTTAAATTCTTAAATATTGACATACCTTTTCGTCTTACTTTTGAACAATAATTCTATGGGCCAATTATTTCTAGCAATGGTTTTATAAAAATTTGAATTGACAGAATAAGTTTTGAATAAGAAGGAAAACATAGATTCTTTAAAGTGTCACATAATTATTTTATTATGAAAGGAAGATCGGGCAGTATTAACACTCTCTGAGTGACGAGTTGGTTTAACCTTCCTAAAATTTTAAAATATTCAAAATATCAAAACCTCTTTGTTTAATATGTGAATAAATGGATCAAATATATTATCAGTGAACTGTTATAACTTCATGTGACTATGGGTATGTTGTAAAAAGAAGTGGGAGTAGGATGAAAAAGATTGTCGGGGCAACTAAAACAGCATTTTTAAACCTTTGATAAATACGGACATGCATTGACAGTTCGACAAAAACACACAAATAAACAGACACAAAATTATTAAAGAGGTTAAAAACAAAAACATCGTAATGGTCATATTCTATACTTTTATTTTTTAAATGAAATAAGAATGAACTTTTTAATCTGTGTTCATCCATTTTCTTTCAGATGTTAAATGAGATACATATCATGAAACATTATCGTTTCAAAATCGATGAGAAGAAATTATCATATACAAATAACTAACATTGTAACCTGAAAAAGCACACTCTTCCTTGAGATAAAAAATATAAAAACAAGATGCAATGTAAGAAAGCGGTATGACTTAATCATTTTAAAGATCCAAAGAACGTATTTATTTACAAGCATTTACAATCAACAAGTTAATTTTAAAAAGCAGTATATTTTGGTTGTGACTATCTTTTTAAATTAGCGTTCATCCATTTCCTATTTGCAGTATTATTTAAGGAGTCAAAAGTTGGACATCTAATGGTTGAACAGAAGAATATAATGCAAAATTGAGCCGGTTTGTTAAGCAGCAGTTATCAAACAAAACTGTTCAATCTTGCCCGAACACATTTGGTACAGACTGCTTTTAAAATACTTAAGATATATTTACTAAGATATAAAATGAATTATAAAACTTATTGTTATGTGAATTGAACATATGTTATTTGAACTGCAAAAGTTTGGTTAGTTCAAATTTTAAAATACATGTAATCGTATAACTATTTTCACGCTTAAAAATATTTATTTGATATATCCTAATTGTAAGAACATTATCATGTAAAGTCATATGATTCAGGGGACGCGAAGCAACCGATCGAGCCTTGTGGCGGCATGACCGAGTGGTTAGCGCTTAGGACTAGTAATCGAATGATCGCTAGCCGCATGGGTCAAACCCTGACAGGGGCAAGTCGTTTTTTCCTTGAGCAAGAACGTTTACACTCTTTGCTCAGTACTTGTTCGTTCCAGGAATGATTCGAAACTGTGTTTATAAGCTAAAAGCTTCCTCCACAATCGAACTGAAATAAATTCTGTAGAAACGATCGAGCCTTATTACTTAATGGTCAAATTTTTACCCCATTGTGCTTTACACGGATGCTTATCAGAAAAACGGTCGCACTTTAAGGTCATTCTATTAAATCATTAAACATGAATTTATGTGATATTTATAAAAAAAATTGTTTTGATGGTTTCATTTTTCTTTTTTTATGTTATACGGCGCACTAACACAATTTAGCTCAAATGTCGCCGAGATAGAAAAGATGATTTTGGCTAACCTCGGGATTTATGTAACACCAGGAGTTAAACCGCCTCACCTGCTGGAGTTAAGAGATACATAGACTCCAATAATTCGAACCCATTTAGTCGCCTCTTACTATCACACATTGTCAAACGGTTTCTGCAGTTCTGATGACTCAACCCGTAAATGAAACCCCTCAGTAAAAAGTGGATTTTCAAGTAATATCTTGTAGTTAATGACAATGGTTAATTACAATTAAGGAATAAAAAACAGGCGAAATGTATTTTAATAGAAAAAAAGAATCCCTTAAGAACGTCAAAACTACAGAATCGAAAATGTTGCAGGTTCGGTTTGATTGAGTCTGTTCCTGAAGAGTGCTGGAAAGTGAAGTTACCGTCCGCGCCCCCCCTAGCACCGGCTAAATTTTAGCATGGTTATATTTGAAAAACATTCGCAGATGAGCTCATAAAGCGGTTATCATGGAAAATCGAAAGAGACAAATTATGACCATTCAACAGAGGGCTCATATTAACATCGGTGTTAATACGGATTGAAACGAGTTCTATGAATATATTTGACATACACAGGACAATAAAGTAAGTTTCGGTACTATTATGATTGAAAATATGCTATGTCTGACAACCAGTTTTGATTTAAATATGCCCACTGCTGTACAGCTATAAACAAATACGACTAAGTGTCAACAGTATGGCATTTTGTACTTTCGGTTTATAAGTATATAAATAATCTACTGTTTACTTTTATATATAGTAATCTATTTATTTTGTTGATAAACTCCAAACATCAATTCAATATTTGTTAACATGTTTAGTTTCTTAGCATAGGTTAGACCGCAAAACCATATCTGTTCTGTGGATTCTTACTATTGTGTTCGAGGACTGACTGAATGGCCGAAGAGTTGCGATTAAAGACGACCCATTCCCAATATGTTTTTTTGCCTTCATATTTCTAGGTTTTATTAAAGGGACATTATACTATTTTCTTATTGTCAAGCTGAGATTAAGTATTTGTTTATTTCAAAAGATTGATTATTGTAATGAGGATTGAACAATAATTGATACTTACAAATGTTTAGGATAAATTAAAACAACTGCTAATATGATAAAAGACCGTCCCTATCATTTTATAACGATGTTTCCAAAAAGTATATATAGCCATTTATGTGGGTCACGGGTAATTGATTACGCAGTTGACATTTGTTATAATGATATTGAAAGCGATTTTGAAAAAAAAATGTAAAGTTCTTTTGATAATAACTGATTACTATGATTTTTCTCTTGGAAGTGTATTACGGAGATACCATTTCTACACAATTTATACCTTAAAAATGTTTTACAATATTTTTTAATCATCTTTTATACCTAAAATGTTCACTCTTTAGTCTTTTTTTTCTTGAAATTAAGGATTTGTCTGTCAATAGATCCCACTGTATTTTGGATCTACATTGTAATCAAAGTAAATACAAATTAAATACAAGAAATAACAAAAACATTTTTCCTTAAATGGTTATAGCGTTATTTGTACATGAATAGTCAAATCACGGAAAGTAGTCGCGGTGCTGTCCACCGGTCGGCCTATTGAATTTCTCACTCCCAGTGCCGGCCATTAGTAAATACGACAGTCAGCAACGGCGCGATATAGGTTACGGGCAAAGTTTTAGCAACTTTCTTTCGGTTAAAGAAACGCATCGATACATGAAAGACATTTTTAGGTGGAGTCAGTTCTTAATGAATGAAAGATTTAACAACAGCATGTACCAGCCAAGGGGCTCATTTAGAAGATCTTAAGCCCAGTCACTTGAGAACTTGTCCAATCTCGAATGTTGCGATAATTTGCAACAAGGTAACCAGGACGTGATGCAGAGCTACAATTTCCGTAAGAATGGAGGGAATGCGTTTTCGATCTGCATAGCATGACTTCGGTATGCATAGCCCGATATTCGAAATGCTGAGCTCGTCATTCGATATGCATAAATCGACAATCGGAATATAAAGCTTAAACACACATTTGGGCATTCGAAATGCCATGCTCGACAATCGGTATGCCTAGGCCACTGGTACAAATAGCTCGAAATTTTTTTTGCCTGGGTCGACTTCCTCTGCAGGGTTTCAAAATTTTACCATTTTATAATAAATGTTAAATACCGCTTAAGCTGGTGTTAGGGACGTGGACGCAGAAGCTTGCACTTTCCAAACCAAGCCTGCAACATTTTCAATGATGCCGTTTTGGGCATTCTTTAGCGATTCTTTATCACTAATGTGTATAATACATAACTCGACATTTGGAATGTCAAGCTTGACATGGGGTTTTCTAGACCCGAATATTGATGTTTAAGATCGAACTTCTACAGACGTGGAGCGCAGTTTAAATATTGCAATTTGTATATAACAGCTTGTTTTAAACACGGACACATAGGTAAAAAGAACTTGTGGTCAACTTCTTACTTAGTACTTTCTTTAACCCCAAATTCAGTACAGTTAATAATTCTAAAAATATGCTTATCATACAAACATTTGAAAATTTAGTTGAACTACTTTTAAAAAAAAAAGAAATCATAGATGATAAGATCCATGTCAGTAAGTAATAATACAAAGCTGCAAAGTAGCTTGTTAAAGAATTAGATAGGTGACGCGGTTGTCCAAACAATTTTGTTGCAAGAACTTTCACAGCGATTAATATAAAAGTTACAATTAAATTTTTGCTTATCAGAACATTTTGTTACTCAGTTTAACTAAGTTTTTCATCGGTGCATCGTTATTAAATTTGTTACATGTTGTAGATCCAGCCATTTAAAAAACACATAAACGAACCGATATCCTTTTGCCTATTTAAGATTCATGGCACGTGCATTTTTCTCGTTAATCACCGAATTAAGAGTACTTCGGCAATGACTAAGAAATATTAACAACAATGACTTGCAATACAGATATCAAATTTTTTGAGAGATTTCTAATTAAAACATCGTTCAATAAAGCATTTAAAATTGCATTTCAAAATGTGTTCTTCTTTTAATTTTATTTAAAAATACACACGTATTTGACTGATGATCAAGGTCTTTCTGCTTATCAGAATTAAAAAGGTGAGGAAAAAAATCACGTGGAAGCTAGAAAAAGATAACAAAAGTTCAAACATGATTATAGGATAAAGAAAATCTGCACTGAATAAGCGGAAGTAGTGAAAACAAATTGTTAAGGTCTTGTTTCATATTGGACATGTATTAATAGAAGCATTTTGTGTTTAACAAAGACGCAAAACTGATATAGAAATTATGAAAAACAATTAAACTAGGTTTATAACGGCTGAATTGCTTTTAAAATCAATTTATCATGACGATGTCAGATCAGTAAGCTTACTCTGTAATAGAAATCTTACAAAAATTAAAATTGCATTCCTTTATAAAACGAAATGAAAATGAACTTACCTTTTTCTCTGGCCGGGAAAACAAGTAGAATCAATGAAACCCCTAAAATTCAAAACATACGTGATGTATATATTCAGTAAAAGCCTGGTTTGTTTTTTGTATTTTTGCAATAAAAAGTGGTAAACAAAGATATAAACAGCGGTTTTTATTTACTTGATGAATTCTAATATTCATCATTTCCCTCATGCGATTTTAAGGTGACAGCCATTATCGTGAAAAATATTTTTCAGCAGTCAAGAAAAAAGACAGCTTTAATTATCTATTATCAAAATAGTGATCAACATGTATCATTTACGAAAAAGGAATTATAAATATTATCTATTATTTCTTGTTATGTCATAATCATCAAAATGTACTCACAAAGAAACCTAGTTTGCATGTTCCCTTTTTATAATTCGCAAATCTACAAATGCTGATCAAACGAGTACTGTCCTGGGAAAACATGTGAAACTCTATATGACTTATAGAACATTGTGTTGAATAAGTTTGTGCAAAAAAATAATGATTTAAAAATATCTTGGATTTAAATTCTAATATCGTGTTGATCAATTGTAAGTGGGCTCATTTCAAACTTCTGTGATGTATTAATCTATTAAAATAGAAAATATGAACTTACAAATGAAATATTATTTTATATTTTATGTTTTGATTAAAATATATTTATCTTAAGTTGTGACAAATAAATGGACGTACAATTGCGCACAAAAACGTAAATAGGTTAACGTAAAAAATAAGTTAACAATTCTTGATAGTAATATAAAAATGTACTTACAGGTTCGTAGCCAAGTCACTTTTAAGTTTATGAAGGCTGATTTTCCGTATATATAGATAAAAATATGGAAGGCCAAAATAGTTTAGTAGTTTGTTGTTTGTGCTTTTTTTATCTAAAAGGCTAATATAATTTCAAGAGAAATGTTAGAATGAATACATTTACACAAAGGAAAACTTATAGAAATTTGATAAAAGAAATGTAAAAGATAAAACAAAAAGAGAAATTGTTTTCAAGTCCCTTAAGCTCGATTTCCTTTTATTTTTAATAATGTTTAAATTCAAATGCAAACATTGATTTTAAAATGTATAACTTATGGTGTTCTATTCAATATTTCTAAATCGTATTCGTTGCTTAATATTTACAGGAAACGTATTACGTTCACATTAATGTGCCATATTTCTTTTTCAAATGGCACGTGCAATTATTTTTTATATATGACCATAGCTGTCTATACAAGTACAGCTTCAACTAAGAGAAAGTTTCATGTTCATTTCATAAAAAAACACAGACAGGATACCGTTTGGCTGGCTTTTCTAGCAATATAGGCATATTCTTTAATGGCAAAACCTCTGCAATAACCTATTTAATTGAAACGTTTAGCGGACTTCGCCTTTTCTTTAATTGTTCTGTAAAACTTTCCATCATCATTAAATAGAAACAGCACATTTTATTGATGATTAATCAGGATAAATAAAACTGAATGCGTTGTCTCCAGTAAATATTATCATTCTCACTATATTTTCAATGCTAATTTCCCAAATTCATGTCAACCTTCACTAGAGGACGTAAGGTATGTTGTACTTTGTCATTATTCCTCATGTAAGGGGAACGGTGGTCTAGCGGTTAAGGTATCTGCCTCTCAACCCAGAGATCATTAGTTGGAGCTCTACTCGAGTCACGACCATGTGTCTTCATATGACACCAGTACTGGTTGGTTCCAGGAAGCGGACTCGAAAGTTATTAATATAAGTTGCAAGAACTTGTTTCGTAATCGAGCTTAAATAAATATGTTTAAACCAAATCCCTCATGTAGAGACTCAATCAAACCGGGTCTGCTATGTTCATGTTATTTTGTTGAGACTAATACTACGAGGGATTACACTTTTTAGGTGTTTTTAACTAAACATATAGTTTGACTTTTATATCATCTGCAGTGTGTATTATGAATTATACATAAGTAATGCAGTTCCCTTCGTTGCATTTTTTTATAAAAGTCTTAAAGGGGCGATTCCTCGGAAGCAATGAAAACAACAAATTGCATAACAATTTCAAACTCGGTCTATTTAAAAGAGGTATTCAATTTTCAAAATTTAATGCGTTGAATCGATCATCACGAAGGACAAGAAACACATAATAACAGTGAAGTGAAGTATGGGACAAATTTTTACTCGCTTTTTTCCTCGTCACGGAAAATCACATCTTTGTCTTAATCATAATAACATCAGCTTGGCAAATATTTTATCAGTATTTTCTCATGATTTGCTGAAGAAAACGTGATTAAATTATTGTTCCTGTTAAAAACAGATATGTAAATCCAATTGAAAACTTCCTGATGTAAGACATGACAAACTGTTCTGCGCAGTAAAAACGCAACATGGAGGAAATACAAAATGAGTACTGACGGTAGTGTTGATATATTTATTAATTTGTTTATCCAACCTTACAATCTTTATTCGATCATTTTAACAAATGAACTGAGCTTTAGATATTCTGTGCAATTACTTTTCCTTTACTTGTTGCAGAATAAGCAAGTTTACATATTATATGAAAATGAAAGATAGGAAAAAATCAATCTCAAATTGATTTTGTCTCGATTCAAAATTGCATCACTGAATAGAAAAAGAAAACAATTTACCATGAAAATATGTTAGCGATCTGGCCATTTGTCATTTGCTGGAACAATTTAAAATAGTGAAGTAACCTTTTAATGCTGAATGTGTTCATTTTTTTGCCTCTGAATACCAACATATTTTGAATAAAAATGCGATTTTCTTCGGTTTGACGAGGTGTTTAACCTTCTGGAATCTTTTTATTTACTTTTCAGTTTTTCGTTTGTTAGGATTTTTACGACACGTCAACACATAACTGGCCAAATCGTGCCGAATGCTATAATAGGCTTAAAATGTTATGTAAAACTTTGTAAATGACAATAGAAATGAACCAATTAGATCCTAGAATACAGGCTTATCTCTTTCAAATAATCAATTATGTTTTTTGATGGAATTGTATTAAAAAGTTCTTTGAGTGGATTTACAGAATAAAAACTATTACGGGCCTGTGAAAAATCATGACATTCAAGAAGAAAATGCTTGACAGTAAAATTTTCATTACAACCTACACAGAAAGGGGCATTGTCATTTGTAAGGAGATAAGAATGGGTAATTTTAGTGTGTCCAATTCGGCATCGAAGAAGAACTGTTTGATCACGGCGGTTTGACAGAGATAGAGATGGTGACACATCAAGAGATGTGTTTATATCGTGACGTTTG